CACAACAATAGACTCAAATCTACCCAAGACCATGTAGATGGCACAGGACCAGGTAATGTTGTGCTGTTACACATAAGGTCCCCATGAGCCAGAGCCCTTCAACAGCAACCAATAGCAACAACATAGAAACGGTGTAATGTGTGTTTCTGCATCTGACACACTGGATCTAGTTCCAATACTAGATATACTGTTTAGAAGCCCCGTGACTTTAAGCAAAGTAGTGAAATTTGCCAGCCATAATGTCCTCGACTGGAAAATACATAAATAATCTATCTAGGTCACAGGGCTGCTTTGAAAACTAGCCATAATGTACATGAAGCACTTGTTGAACAAGTATTATGAATGCTACAAACCAACAGATGGGAGTGATCATTACTCAATCGTTCCTTAGGGTGTTCTCCTCACCCACAGAGCAGCAGCTAGCACTTTATGAGGCTTGCTCCTGGATCAACACCTGGTTCACTTTTTCTCCCATCTTTATTTTGGTGGCTGTCATCAGAAAAGGAAACCGTTAGTAGGACTACACATAAAACTTTCTAAATTAGAGGCTCCCAAGGCTGGGTGCAAACGGCATTGGTTGTTCAGTGGTAGAATTTTCTCCTTCTGTGTGGGACACCTGGGTTCAGTTCCAGCCAATGTACTTCATGCACAGCCATCACCTGTCTGTCAGTGGAGGCCTGTGTGTTGCTGTGATGCTGAGCAGGTTTCAGTGGACCTTCCAGACTAAGACAGAAAGGAAGAAAGGCCTGCCATCTGCTTCTGAAAAGCAGCCAGCAAAAACTCTATGGATCACAAAGGTCTTATTTGCAGACAATAATAGAGATGGTGTAGGATTGGGCAGTGTTTTCATTCTGTTGAGCATGACATTGCTACGAGTTAGGGGCCAACTCGACAGCTGCTAACAAGAAGCCTGATTGCATATCAGAACCACCTGGGGAGGATTTTAAACTACAGACACCTAGGACCCACTTGGACCTACTGAACCAGGTTGTAGGGGAGTTAGGGGGATGCCATGGCTTTTATTTTTGAACCCCCAAAAGTGAATCAATTGCTTTAGCAGACTTGAGATCTCTGGTCTGAAGCCTACCCATCCTTCAGGAACTAGATCAAATCTCACCTTTTGCAGAGGCCTCCCCTACACCCTCCCCACAAAGAGATCTCTCAGTATATGAATTGTCTACATAGTTCATGTACCACTGTCACTGACACCTTGTCTAGTTTCAGGTTCAAATATCAATAGATACTGGCCTTATCTTCTTAGGTAGACTGAAACCACAGAGAGAGAGAGAGAGAGAGGTGAATTCTTAAGACTTCTCTATTCTTATCCTCCTCTCATGGGACTCATATACATAATTGGCATGTAATAAATGTGTTTCTTAGTTATAAGAGGAGCTCAGTGGTGTAGCACCTAAGGCATGTGACTGCTAATCAGAAGGCTGGTGGCTCAAACCCACCAACCACTCCTTGGAAGAAAGACTTGCCTCAGCAACCCAAGGAGGGGTCACTATGAGTCAAACCGATTCAACTGCAGTGAGTTTGATTTTTTTAAAATACATATTAAAATGCTACATACACTGTACTTTTATATATTTACATACATATACTAAATCAACAGAAATAGCATAAGTTTGAGATCTAAGAAAATCTGGGGTTCAAACCACAAATCCACCACTATATGAACGTAAGCATTTTCAGTAACTTTTCTGAGTCTCAGTTCCTTCATTATCAAGTCAGAATATTGACATCTTCCTCTTAAGTTCATTGTAATAATTAAATGAATTTATGTATCAGAAGTTTTTGGCACAGGATAAGTATAATGCACAAGATTAGTCAATAATTAAACTATATTTTAAAATTGAAAATATTAATACAGAGGTGAGGAGACCTATACACAAAATTCTTAAATGTCTGA